GTTTTAGTGGTTAAAAAGCTGTACCTTTTTGAATCTCAGCATCTACTATCATTAAATAATGATCTGATCTCCCCCATTGTCTGACTTCCCACAATTTCCTGCAACTGTGAACATTTCAATCAATACAAAACAGAAAAATAATCATTGATACCATCCACCAAAATTATTAAAAAACCTATCTCGCTTTTGGCTGCACCAGCTTCAAGAGCAGAAAGTCCCTGGTGTGTCAGTCGCCACACTAAGAATCGGGCCAGTCTGATCTTGCACCTTTACAGCAGCGAGTTCAATGGATTTACAGCAGGGCTTGCAGAATGAAATCTGTTCCTGCTATCCATGGAGCATTTCAGAAACACTTGGCATTGCCTTGCTCCCACGGACATCAAGGGGAGGTTTACCAGAAATGCTGACGAGATCAACGTGGAGTGTTTTGAATTGTCCAGCAACCTGGACAGTTCATCTTTCCCTGCCCCCAGATATATCTCGATGCCAACAGATCTACGGAGAAAAATAAAAGAAGGGGGTCCGATCTCTTTAAGGCCAACAGGTCCAGGGTGCGACGGGGGGGAGGCTTCAGGTGGGAGGATCGGGCTGAATTACACCGACTGTCTTCTCTCAAGGTGAATCTCAGGATTAATTATCCCCCAGACAGCGACTCTGAGGGTGATTGTTTGGAAAGGTGACACGTGACCCCATATTAGTTACACTGCCCGCGTCTGGCTGGCGGAGCAGGTGCTTATAAAGGTACCCAGACTTTCTGGTTACAGCAGCAATGGGAGGCACAGCTGGTGGGCAGGGGCGGTCTGCTTCAAAGGAGGGCAGGGAAGCCAGTGCAGAGAGATGGACCCGTCCCACCTCTTTCCAAGCAGGCGTGTCGAGTCTGGATAGCAGAGAGAAGGGAGCAGCAGAGCAGGCCGAGTGATAGGACAGTGCCCGGTGCTGCTAGAAGATCTGGAGTCCCACGGGTCAGTGCTGGGAAGAGCGTACTCATCTCTGAGCAGCCAGCAGAGATTGGCTAATGCCCAAGCAGCACCTGCTCCAAGGTGACCCATGGGACACGCAGTTGCTCTCCTACCCAGCCTGGCTCATCACGGGGAAGGGAACAGACCAGGTGTTCACATTCGTTTCAGGTCACAACAGGAGTCTGGAGGTTGAGTTTAGTTTGTCCCAGGTCCAGCAGGCAGCCTCTCCGCAGAAGCCATCCAGGGTCAGAAAGCTGGTGGTGTGGAGCGGGCCACAAGTTGGGACTGGAGGTTTTTCTGATTCAGAGATATCACTCCCCATCGATTTTTAGCTTCAGTATTTCCTGTGTCCCATCATCCCTCCCCACTCTGTAGCTACAGCCATCTCAGGCCCTCTCCCCCCACATTTCTCCCTCACTCCTTGCTCCTCTGGGGTGAGGGGCAGGCAGTGAGAGTGGCCCCGATGGAGTGAATCTGTGGGCGTCGCTCTCCAAATACAGGCGAGCTGACCGGCCTGTGTCTCCTCCCTCCCCCCCGTCACATTCACCCTGCACTAGCTTGGCCCGTGGTTGTGCAATGGAACTGCAAGACGTTGCACCGATCTGCGCTCTGTCCATCACTGGGGCACGATCCTGCTCCATGGCAACTCTGGATTCCTTGGGAGCTAGCGACGGAGAATAAGCACAGGCAATTTTGGGGCAGGATTCCAAATCAGCTGTTCACATCCAGCTGTTTGGAGTCTCCCAAGTCCCCTCAACTTTCCCACCTGGCTTCTCTCACTGTAACGCCCATCAGGAATGGTTACTTCTGAGCAGACCGATCATCCATCTAATCCCATAGCCAGATAAATCAGAATATGCTTGTTGTTTCCCTGGGCTGGTGCCCTGCCTCTGGGAATGACCAATGCAGTATGCTGTAGAGGAAGGGATTAACAGCACATCTAATTGCAAGACACAATGCCATTCTCCCTGACCTCATTTGACAACTTGAACCGTGAAAGCATGAGGAATGAGAGCACTTTTCCATTTTTTCCTCACTGATGGGAATCTCAGATTCTGTTCCATTTGGTCTTGAATCTGAGCTGTTCACCTCATGCAGCAGTGAGTTCCACAGGTTGCATATGCCACAGTTACAAAATGAAACTGACAGCTACCAAATGAATAACACTCAGGCACTCTCATAAAGGAGCATCCTCACCAGAATGCAATCAGGGGAGAGAACTACCACATGGTCTCCATGGCTCTAATCAGGAGAGGGACTGCACCCACCTGCAAACACCCCATCACAAGATGTAGATTAAAATGCATTGCTGAAGGAACGAAACCAAGTAATGGAGGCATAATGTAAACAGGGACAGGAGCCAATCCGCAAAGCCTTCCAACCATGGAGATGCCGAAGGGGTTAACAAAACACTCAATGAAACAAAAGCCCACCTTTTGAAATCAATCAGCACCTGGGAACTACAGACAGGAGCTTTCTTCTTCCGAGTGCCAGGGCCGCCCGGGGAGGGGGGGCAAGTGGGGCAATTTGCCCCAGGCCCCGGGCCCCACAGGGACCCCCACGAGAATATAGTATTCTATAGTATTGCAATTTTTTTTTTTAATGGAAGGGGCCCCCGAAAAATTGCTTTGCCCCAGGCCCCCTGAATCCTCTGGGCAACCCTGCCGAGTGCTGCAACCCATACCTTCCCACCAGCCAGGGGGATGCAGGGAAGAAGAGCGGTGAAGCTGGTGGGGGTAGGGGAGCAGACAGGCCTGTGTTAAACAGCTGCTTCTAATTGGCCCTGACAGCGAAATCTTCCAGATCAAACAAGCAATCTGCTCGGGGATGGAAAAAATCCAGGGGCTCCGGAGACTCCCATCCCAGCGCTTTGCTAGGGAGCGCACTGTGCATCAGTTACACAGAGGTCTCCTTGCTTTGCAAAATGCTCTAGAGCACCTGGGATTTTTCAGGACCATTAACAGTGACACAGGGGGCCCCGAGGCTACCGAAAACCCACTGCACGGCTATCAGGACTTCAAAGCATTGCGCTCACACTAGCCTCGTCTGGGTTTCGTCGCCATTGCGACGTGCAGTGGGAATACAGTCAAGAGGTTTAAACTGGAAGTTGGGAGAGCCAGTATATTTGGAATAGCTCCTGCAGCTACCATCCTCAAACGCTGGAGACGCCATGGTCATGGGATTAGGGGTCACGTTGTTTCCCAGGTCTGTGAGTCTAAAGTAGCTAGGAAGTGGTGAAGGAGGCACAGTTCGCCTCCATCCCATTGCACCAGCATTTAATGTGTAACATGATTAAATGGATGCATTGCTTTGATTTATGAAATATCCTGGGAGCCAGCCGATTTGGGTTCTATGTCCTGACTCTGCCAGGGATTCGCTATGGGTCTCTGGCCAACTTTTCCAAAAGTGACTGCTGATTTTGGGTGCCT